GTGCGCCATCGCTCTTGGTATCGCACAAGGAGGGATTGGGATCGCTAACTCTGTGAGTACCCGTTCCGATGTGATTCAACACGATTCTCATCCTCGCATTCTCCCCACTCTTGCTAGGTCAATGCTTTGGTCCTGAACTTGTCAGCCACTCCTACGGCAGCGATTGCCTCCGTCTACCTGTTCCTATTAGTTCCTTTTTGCGTGCAAGCAATACTCGTACTCCGAGTGCTCGCCGCGTATCCCCCGAAATCCTTGCCGCCTAGTCGTCGACTAGTCATATACGGCCCGATCATCATTTTCAAGCTCGCCCGCTTCGCGAACTTGATATACATGGCGGTCCGCCTCGAGCAACTGATTCAGGCTGGGGGCGGACTGAGTAGCAATTCGGTGTTCACCGTGTCCCAAGCTGTGTGGACTCTGCCGAGTGCGAAGGCCGAATGGTTCCTGCAGCTCTTTGACGACACGTACGGATCTTCATCTCTATGAGGGTGTCGTCGTCTGATGACAATTGATTGGACAGGTATGCATCGACGCTCTTCATCCTACGTCTCCGTAAAGGGACCGGGATGCTTGGTAGACAGCCTACCGTCGAGAGACTGCACACTACCTCGGCCAAGAGTACGTCTGTCCTTCCTCTATTTCAAAGAAAGTTGACTCACTCAGGAACGTCAGGCACATACCTCCAGCGGCTCAAGACACTCTTCTGGATCGCAGTCTTCAACTTCGTCTTCCCGATCATATTCAACATCGCAGTGCTGATTTTGGCGTTCCGCGATTCCAACTTCCTTGACGGAAGTTACATCATTTACACGAACAACTACGTGGAGATCATCGGAGTCCTCCTCGCGACTATCTGGGCTGCGGGATCTCACAAGGATGACGGCGACAACTCGAGCGGACTGCTGGGTTCTAGCCAGACTGCTGGCAGTCATGGCAACATACACCTCGTGAAGATGACGTCTTCATCCACGTTCCAGGTGTCTGAGAGTGTGGACGCGAAGGTGTGAGGCTAGCGCGACTGTAGTACGGTTTGAAAAGCGGAAGTAAAGTCGTATGTAACGTAGGCTATGCAACCAGTGAGCAGGGTAATTGCGACGTTTATGTGGCGCCAACTGTTCTCGCGTACAGTTATCCAGGTACGCTCCGGGTGACCCTTGCCGCTCTTCCGTCCGGCTCGCGATTAAAGTCTTTCATTCCGTCCTGATCCCCCAGGTACGAGAATGATTCATGGGTTAGCCGCGCTCAACCCTTAGGTTGCTGTTTCTCCATTATGCGGCCAAAAGGCGAGGGCATCTCAAAGACTTTCATGCTTAAGCGAGAGCTCGGATTTCGGTCTGATGCGAGGCACGTCTGCGCCACCATAGCAGAATGAGCTACAGGATGGTAGCGTGGGCCCCAAGCGCACAGGAAGTGCAGCCCGTGGTCTTTCAGCTCGACGGGAAACTTTGGCGAGCACCATACGTCTCGGTGTCCATGTGGAAGGGCATGACAAATTGGCATGTATGATAGCAAGAGACGAGATCTTTGCGAAAGAACTTATCGATCTCCCCGCAGGTTGTTACTACATATAAGGATCTCACAGAGGGCGACCCTGTTTGCGGGTTCTTGCGGTTCTTGCGCTCTGACGGGGCGAGCGCGACCTGGAGCTTGGGGTAAGCTATAATCATGGATATGAGCTTACATCACACCGAGGTATGATAGCATTTATTTCAAGTAGAGAGCGGATTTCCTCAAGCCACGCGAGGTACCCACTCGATGAGCCTCAACAATGCGACGCAGCAGTGCATGTGGACCGGTGGAGATACCTTTTGAAGGAACCTCATCGATGCGGACGGTATCCTCTATAATACAGGCCGTGTTCCAGCCAGGATACGCCGAGGAGAATAGCAACGCCCAGATTATGCGTCAGGTGGAGTCTCGTCCTCCACCATCCCGGCGATCCTCGCGTTCCCTGTAGGAGCTCGGCCTTGAGTCATACCGAGATGTAGTTCACAAGGTTGTCCATACTCATCTCGTTGCTGACCTGCACTACGACGGACAGCGAGAGTATGATGTCCGCCGCGCTCTGAGTTTATTCGAACAGAGTCGGGTCGAGGTTCAGCCTGCATATATATGCGTTAGGTCACGCCTGTACGGATGTCTCACACACTGCCTACCTCGAGCCGCGCCCGTTTGGCCTGCTCCCTTGTCTTGCGCTCCGCGATCTCCGCCTTCTTCCTGGCTTGCCACTCTGTCTTTTTGGCGGTGCGGAGGACAAGTCGACGTTCGTCTTCCTCTAGATGACGCTTGATTCCGCCAGCGAGTAAGTCGCGTGCGTCGGCGCACTTCGCGCGGTGGCGGGTGAGGTATTTGAAGCCCCGGCCGCATCCCTCGCATTGATGGACCATGAGAGCAGCAAGTAGGATGTAGATCAGTACCAAGAGGCGCACTGGAGACTGCTCTGTGTGTTGCAGAACAGTGCGGCGACGCGAAAATTCGACAAACGAATCCCGGTGGACCGTGCGCGGTCACATGACAGGCGCGACAACACGATCTGACGCCCAGACACCTCACCGATCGCGTCACTTACCACATCGGGTGGGCTTCTTCTGCCCGTCTTCTCTCTAAGCCTCAAATACTCTGGGATGGACAACTTTTCCTCCAATATTCCTATCTTGCTTCCATACCGCTATCCTCAAGCGTACAGAAGGCCATCCTCCTCCTCTGAACCATTTCGGCCCCGTCGTGAAAGTTAGCCCCGGAGACCTTGTTGGGGTCAACAAGGAATCATATCTCCACGTTCCTCCTCGATACGTTTCCTGCCGAGTTCGACCCGCGTCTGTCCAGCTCAGGCATCAAGTACTTCTTTATGGGCGACCATCACAGGATAAGGCGTCCCAGGCCCACGTGAGTGATATTCCACGGTGATTGGGGCGCATATAGGTACTTCTATGCGCGCATATACCCAACCCTTCGTGCACAGGTACGTTGCATCCCGCTCGCCCAGCCCGCCTTCAGGCAAAAGGCCTCGAAAGCACAATCCTCATCAGGCCGGTCAGGCATCCTCGCGTGATCGCCCCCAACCAGACGATCCGAGGCGCCGTCAAGACCATCGAGAACCCGCTGCCGGCACCTCGGTGTGGGACGAGCACGCCGATGCCCGACGTCCACCCCTCTCGATTCCCTCACGTCCGACCAAAACTTGGGATAACGAATGGTATCCGCCCGAAGGTACAGAGTTGGCCAAAGATCCAGAGGCCTACCTGTCTTCACCAGATAGTACCCAACCACGCCCCCGCGAGCCAGCAAGCTGTCCCCACCCTTCCAATCTCGTGCAGCCTCCCCCTCCCGCGAGCCCGTAGAACGACGTCGCCGCCCATCCTCCCCGCTCCCGGCCGAGCGCCGCGCTCCTCACCCCTCCGCACATGACCACCAAAAACGCGTCTCCCCCGACAGGCGCAGCCGTGTTGAACGCGTCGATACATCTAAGTCGTACACTTATGCGCGGTCAAGGCGTCGCCGCCCCCGATCGGCGTCCAGGTCATCAAGCCCTGGTTCCTCTCGTTGCTCATATTATAGACGACGTCGCTACGAGTTGTATTCGACCACCTCATTGCCCTCCCGCTCCCGTTCATCAAAGAGAAGCCAGCGTCGCAAGCGCGAACATGACGATTCCGTCGAGGAAGAACTGACGTGGAGTCAGTTCAAGCGCCATATGATGCGCGTCCAGAAAAGCTATGGAGTGTTGTAGGTCCTCCTTCTGAGTCCTCGTGCGAGCATTCACTAACACACCCCAGTTCCCTTGATCTCAGGGAGAAGGCCTCGCATCTGGCCAGCCTGCGTGATCTCGCGCGTTTCCTGCCGCGACAGTACATGCCTTATCACAACTTCAACTCTATGTTCGTTACAGGCATGAGCATCTGACATCTTGGCTCGATGTCGGAGGCCGATCGCACCAAGCGGATCAAGGCCATTCGCAAACTGTGAGGCGCGTATTTGGCTCGCGCTCTTCACTACCTGTGTATCTTCTAGGAAATCAAATGACACAATATTTCGTATTCGCCTTTGAGGATCTCATCAAGGAGCATGCAATTTCTCAAAGTTATGCCGAGAAGCTCAATGACCGTCCGCAGGACATATTGGCTGTAGCGCGCTTTGTACGTCTCTCTATATGCCTATTTCAGCACCAGACCGTTGGTGGCAAGTCGTACTTGAACGTTGGGGGAATCCGCTGCTTGGTGTTGCAGTGGCGAGCAGGTCAATTCCTGTACCTGATGTAGACAGCAAGCGCGTGGTTGGTGGACTGGAAGGGTTTCTGTGGTATAGCCGTATAGGGAACACAACATCCGTCTTCATGTTTGCGCCGTTTGCGTTGCGATTTCTGATCGAGTCAACCGTGATCCATCACTGTACATTTTGAAACTTCGCAGGTTCCGCGTCGTAGGTGCGCCTCTATATCATCGCGTCAGAAGGTGCACCAATATCGTATCCTTGAGCAGAGAATATAGATCGCATGTACAGCACCGCACGCAATCCGTGTCCTGGTTTCTCAGCACGCTATTGCGCTGTCGCGAGGGCTTGTTTGCGATCTAGAACCTATAGTTACCGTGTAATCCCAGGAGTTATCACTTGACCTCCAATTGGAACATTATCGCTTAGGTTGGAATTCTAGGAATCACTGTTTTATCACAAGTACAGACACATCGGACTCAGCCGGACAATACAACATGCATCATACAAGAGCAAATTAATTACATCCTCCGCCAACCGACACCGTGCAAACTCAGTAGCGAGCAATAGTGCACACGATCCCAGTATCAGACAGCCACAGGGTGAACCTTCACAAGCGTGCCCGACGCAGACTCACAATACTTGTCCGGGGAAGATGAGGTACCCCCGAACGACACCATGGCGATAGGATGGTTCCCTCCCACGACATCTCTCTCGTCAACATCCGTGATCGAAGAATGGGTCCCAGTAGGCCTGGTGAAACGGAATGCGGAGGATCGAGAGCCGGCGCTCGTCATTTGGTTGGTATGCGGGGGGTATGTGCTCTCCACGGACTTCCCCTGGTCGATGCGGATGATGATCAGGTTGAACGAGATGCCCTGAGGAGTAGGAGGTCATTAAATGACGGCTTTTCAAGAAAGGAAATGAGTCGTACAATGATCTGGACCACCTGGAAGAGCACGATGCGTTAGCACATCCAAAACTAAGCTTCAAAACTAGGGGAGGACGTGAACTCACACAGTCAGACACACCATACTGCGCATTATTGTTGGCGAGATACACGATGAAAAAGACAATGACTCCAACGGAGTACATCAGCCCTGACTCGATGATGATGCGCATCGCACGCCGCAAGCCGTCGGTCCCGCTGGCAACGCTGCTCATGGTGAAGATGGCTCTGGAACGACGTTCGATCGACCAGATCTTGTACACGATCATCGCTATGTAGTATTCAGCGGCGCTTTTACCAGACAAAAATGGAAGAAGCGTACAAGTGGCAATGAGATTGAGAACGAGGGTGATGGAAAGGGTCGATGTGATGAATGGCGTGAGTTGTCCGGCGTTCAAGAAGGCGTCTGAGTGGAGGGTGAACTCGATGTAGCAAGTGAACGCTTCGACGACTGGAGAATGGTACGTTGGTCAGCTCGATCGGTGCTTGATCCATAGCTGTTGCTCTTACTCATCCCTGCGATCCAAAGGATGCAGAGCGGAACCGGAACGAGCCAGTTCCCACCATACACGATGTAGCAGCGGTAAATCTATATATACGCGTACATTAGCTCTGTTCATTTCCCGCGGAATGTAGACGCACCAGCATCCCATCGGCAATACTCGTCTGGGCCACGTAATTGACGGTCTTCATGGCGTTGACCCAATAAGATATGTCGGAAAACTCGCCGATAGCACCGCCGGGACCATGATACCAGACGAAGGCGTCGAGGACATGGCGAAGAAGAAGGGCAACGTCCAGAGTTGCGAAAATAAACAAAAGCAAGGCAACCACCACAAAGACGGTTCGCTGCCGGTGGCGGGAGCGACTCTTGAGGAGCATAGTGTACATACACATCCCGAACGATACGAGATACAAACCTTAGGGAACAAGTCAGTGGCAAGGAGACAATGCAAAGGACTGTATCTGACATACCGTAGAACATACTCTCAAGGAAGAGCGCCACGATCTGCGCAACATCGATAGGGAACTTGTCCGCCATGGTATCAAAGCCTGAGTACGAGGAGGAGGTCGGCAGGGGCGCGCGTGTAATCTAGCGTCAGCATCATGCCTTTCTATCACACCTGCAACAGGCAAACATCCACGACACCCCCTGAAGGTTCCGTCGAGCTCGATTCGTAGCGATGGTGCGTTGCTACCGGATGCCAGATGGAGGGTGATCGTTTCTCTGAGCAGACGAAGTGCAATTAATGAAGTGACCGTCGCATCAGATCTCTGCGAGGTACGATTTACAGAACTTTGATACCTCTCCAGTGGGGACACGAGAGCTCCATATCCTCCTTATCGCTATCAGCCGCTTTCACATGCGGCGCCACCGGAGTTCAGAACAACAGCTGGGAAGACGTCCTGGGCAAGAGGACCACGCTGAAGCTCGAGGATTCGCTCAGATAGACTTGCGCTCACCCAGGACGGTGTCGGTGTCTGTGTGTATAACCAGGACGTAGTACTCGATATAGCCCGCACCCGCCGGGGCTCTCGAACGGGTGTACGGGCGCTGAGCGCTGAGCGCTGAACTCTAAACCACGTCACGGAGTACGGAACGGGCGGTGAGTCACCCACAAAGAAGCATGAGACTGGAAACGAAGAGAGCATTGCGCTGCGGCGAGTGTTGCTGATATCTTACCTGTGTGCATTGTGTACACGGTTCGTGGACCATGAGTCGGCTGAGCATTGGTTTGTACGTCAGAGTGTGACACGTCGGGGCGGGACACGAGGAAGCCGCGAAATGTCAGGCTGCACGATGACTGTAGGACAGAAACGGAGCGTTAAGCGCCAACGCCAGGCTGCGGACCGTGGTGGCGCTGTCATCACCGGTCGTTGCCCTGACTGCCCTTTGGATTCTGGACCATCACACTTCTTCCTTGTTTCCCGTGCTTTTTGTCTGTATTGAGGACTTCGGATACTCAATGAAGGCCGGGGGTTCCGTCGACCCTACACGCCTTCGT